AGATTATTTCCTCCAAAAGATTAGAAGGAGCTTATGAAATGTGTGATAACCACTAATGTTATCAACATACTTACAAGATACAGCAGAATCTTATATGCTACTACTCTTTTCCCCAAATTGAGGAAAACGGTGCGTAGGAATTACTTCAAGAAGCAATCAGCAGTTTGATATTCAAATTAAACTATCTCTCGGGTTCTTAACATGATTCAACCTCAATTTCAAGTCTAACTTCAATCAATATAACTTCATTTAGAAGATCTTTTTCATTTGCTTTTAAGAAAAATAATTAAATTTGAAAATTGAGAAAAGATAGAGCAAACCCTAAATTCCAGAATTGCAAGCGTTTTCAATCAATAAACATAAAACAAACCCTAAACGTTAATTAAACTATTGTAAAACAAAATCGAAAGAAAATGCACTCAAAAGAGCTAAAAAGCGAGATGAGAACCTCAAAATCCTGAGGAAACTCGTATTCATAGTTCTTGACAGGGTGGCGGTTCTTCCGGAACTCTTCTTGAGACACTTCTTCCTCGTACTCATAAACACCGTTTCCAACACCCGAATCGATCTCGTCATCGCTGTTAGATGAGATTCTAGGGTTCAGGCGGTGGAGATCCGTTTGCAGCGCCGAAGGTAAGCGAGGACCTGTTCTCCTCTTTCTCATATTGGTTTTGTTCTTGGTGTTCGGCTTTGGAGTTCGAATCCTTTTTGAACTATATGTTGGTTCTGGATTCGCCGCCTCCGAATATCTCTTCCCGATTCTTATCTGCCATGGCTAGCCCGAGTTTGTGGTGTCGGCGTTGGTGACGTTTTGGTTCGAGCGGCAAAATAAAATTAGGCTTTCAAGTGAACAAGTGAAGGATCATACAGGATATAGGAATTTGAAAGCTAAACCGACTTGACCCGACTTTTTGCCTCAAATTGTGCTGTTGAATGATACTTCTACTAGGGTTAAACTTGGCCTTTCGTAAATAAATGGGTCAAAACCCAACCAAGTCGGTCTAACTCTAACTAAAAGGAGTTATGGTGGGGACAATAATTGGGCCAAACTGTAATTCTAAATGGGCCTATCACTCGTCAGGCCTGTAACAATTAACATCATAATTAAAAATATTGATTTTGTTTGGCAAGAAGAATGAAATTTTTATTTATATAGATTAAGTTACAAAATAATAAAATAATTATAAATTTTAATTATTAGATTATAAAATTTTTCCTTTTAATTTCTTTTTATCTCTTCTAACAAACAAAGCTTTGTTTTTAAAAATTTACAGTGATTTATCTTTAAGAAAATTTTAATTAATGATTTGAATTAGGGTCATCTTTAAAAAAATTAATTGAATAGTATTAATACACAAAACATAGATAATCCAAAAATTTTGGAGAAGTAAATGTAGAAAAATCCTGTAAATTATGAGAAATTAAAAAATCAGATTATTTTGAGATAAAATCATGTAAGAAAGCTGATCTAAAATAATAAAAAAAATTATTTAGAAAAAAAAAAAAAAGAGTAGAAGAACCCGACCCATAAAGATGATTTGAATAGAACTTATTTCAAAAATATAATAAAGAAAAGAGTGAGAACAAAAGGGGAAAAGGTGCAAAGGAATGAAGAAACAAGTTAAAAAGAAAAAAGTGGAAGTGAAAGTTGTAGAAAACTTTAAGATAAACACAACCCGTTTGTCCAATGGGTCTTCACACGTGTCCCTACTCGCCCTCTTTCTGTATTTTTTTTTTTTATAAATAAAATTAAAAAAATAATTTTAAAGTTTCATTATTGTGTCTTCTGCTTCGTGGCTAGTGACCACAAGAGCCTTTAAGAAAACATAAAAATTTAGTTTCGAATCAAGCTTTTCACTCTAATAGGACTTTGACCCCTTAAAAAAAAAAAAAAAAAGTTTCATTACTGTGGCCATTTTAATAACTCAACAGTTAACAACCAGAATTAACACAAATATTGATCTGTTCGCCATTACTAGAAAGATGCAAGGTGGCAATAAGAGGTAGCAATGCAGTTTTTCTGAACTTGGATATCATGACAACAGCAATTTCCAACCCAATCTCAAAGAGTACTGCCATGCATCAGGGTGACAGGGCCAGAGGTGACCCCGCGTTTAAACTCACCCCAGAGAATTAATGTTGCTCATCTCCCTTGTATATTCTATGCTGTGCGATTGCCCTATAATTATCTTTTTTTCAATGGTTTAGCATAGAGTGAATTAATTAGTGAACTCGAACATGCATGTACTGGAAAACAAAAGGAAACTGAAAAAACTAAAAAACTTTTATGAGTAAATGGTGATTCATGTTTACTATATCACAATTGCTTGCGAATTCATGCATTAGAGATTAGAGATTACAAACCCTCGAGGGAGTGGAAAAGAGAGAGGAGGTAGGGTGAGGAACCCATGTTGGAGAAGGGGAGCACGTGCAGAAGGCGAGATATCTGGCGTTTGAGAAGCCAAAAAGATGGCACTCTTGCACGTGCCCTGCTTCTCCAACAAGGAGCTACTCACTCGCTCAAATGTCCGTGGCGTGAATAAGCATGAAAACGTGTTTTAAGTTGAGATGTGAAAGAGACGAACGAAGAAGTTCAAGTATTTATAAGTACGAAGAGAGAGAGAGAGAGAGCTGGCTTTTTTATTATTTTGTTAATAATCCCGACAGGCAAGGAAGGGAGCAATGAGTGAAATTCAAGAGTGTTGGGGACTGAGGAGTGGAGGAAAAACAAAATCTCTGGCAAGAGAAAGCACAAAGCCATGCCATGCAATCATAGTGGTACGCAAAGCAGAGAAATTCAGAGTAGAGATATCTAAGGAATACAAAGTGGGTCCTGTCTGCCTTAATTTCACAAAAGCGATGCCACCACCACTTTGTTTGTTCCCTTCCATGATCCAAGGCACAGACAGACAACCAGAAGACTTCAAAACTTTATCCCACCAGTCACCAAAAAAAGATAACCCTTCCTTCCTACCATTACTAGCCTTTGGATCAAGAATATCGTGCCATGATTTCAGGTCCCACTACCATTTATGGGCCCATTTTGTGGGGTAAACCCACACCTTATTTTAAGTTTCTCTTCGGGGAAGAACCTGTCGATGCTAGGAGCAGAGGAGAATAATGTAAGAGTGCACGTAGGCTTTGCGTGTTGCCGTGTTGGGTGCAAACGTGCAAGCTTTTGAGTGTAATGTGGATATGGGAAAAAGAAAGAGAGAAAAGAGTTTTTTTTTTTAAAAACAGAGAAGGGGGCTCCCTAGGTTGATATGATTCCCTATTATATAGAGTAGGGCACCAGCTTTAAGCCTCGCAAAAGTTTAAGGCCTTTTTCACAGATCAAGAATCGATAGAATTTCAAACACCCTGGCCTGATGAGTGATGGCAGGGATTTAATGCATGTAAGCAAAGCAAAGCAAAGCAATGGTTGCTAAAATCCAAACCCATACTATCAAATCGTGCAAAATTTAAAAGAATGGAGCAAAAGTGTACAAAAATCATATTCAGAACTGTAAGTGATCCCATTATTTAATACTTCTTGAACAAGTAAACACCAAGCTAATTTCAAAATTTTCTTCCTCAAATCTTCTCTAAAAAGACTTAAAACCTGTTATCTATCCCCTTATTGATTTTATCAGTAATATGAAATCCCGAATGAAGTGAAACTCGGCTGTTAGTACGCAGACAGAATTGTTAAACTCAAGGTCAAGTTCTGAGACAGGAAGCCGCAAAGGCTTACACTTAACACGACAGCTCAGAAGCTCTGTATATTAAAAAAAGTGGTCTAAGCAGTGATGATCGTGCTAGATGATCGAGAGCAAAGCTGAACGTGCATTTAAAGAAAAGTGCCCGAAGTGTTGTCACCCTTAAATCACCATTTTTGTCTTGTGTTAGAAAAACATTGATTCTGAGATGAAGTCATCATCAAAATCTAGAGACATAAATGTTAGCGTGTTGTGGTTTTGTAGTAAATGCCTTTATTTGGTCATGCACTCAATTTTTTCACAAGTTTTTCAAAACTTTACTCATGCTTCCAAGTTCCAACAAGCTTAAAGTCCACCATGCTTTGATGCATATATTTGACTTTGCTTCAACAACAAAGGAACCGCTGGAAAACAAATTGGCCATTTTATGATATTGTAGCCTATGATTGATTTCAGTTTGACTCGTGTTCATGACATGAACCAAAGCTAGATTTTTCTCCAGGAACTTTTATCTGTTTATATTTATAACTATAGAAATGCACAAGCCTTTAATTAATTAATGTCTATAACAAGTTCCTAAGAGGATATTCAGTCGCATAGGTAAAGCAGGAAAAAGCATTAGAGCGAGCCGCCGCTTAAACTATGGGTTCAAACATATTTTGAGCCAAGAGATAAAGTTTCTTCTCTATGAAGTAATGGATGTAAATTATAACTCCGATATTCAAATTTCTAATATATATATAAAAAAAAAAAAAGGAGGAATCAATTTATTACATCAAAAATGCATACTACGGCAGGCGACTCCCCTGCCTTGTATCCCAGAAGGGGTAACAGAAAGAAGGAAAATATTGTTAGTGAATTTACAAGATGCAAGAGACAGATTGAGAACCGCAAAACGGTCACAATTCAATAAAATGATGGCTATTAAGAGAACCACGAATTCAGTCCTCTGATTAGGAACAATGTCAGAGATAAATGTGGACTGCTGAAACAACAGAAATTGAGTTGATGCATCTGCTTTGGCATGAAAATGGAAAACCAAACAGCACCCTCAATGTTTCTAAACATTTTAGCATAAAAATGAGAGATGACGAGTTTGTGCTTCAGAGCAGTCTCTCTTTTGGTAAAGCCATCATCTTCTACACACAAAGCCCAAATTGACAACCATCATAATGCCACTTGAGTCAATAGTTTTTTTTTTTTTTTTTTCATTCCTAATCTACCCTTAATCCTCTCTACCCTACTACTTAGCTGACTGAAAAAACCATTATACATATAAACTCTCTCGAACTTACAACTTTCAAATGCTAACTCTAATAACATACCAACTAATCTAAAAGATGATCAGTTTCTTGAGTCTATAGTTGAATTAACTACAAAAGTATTTTGAGAATTTAAAAATCCGAAAGTTTATCAAAGCTTAACAGATTAACTAATAAATAGGTAAGCATCAAATAACTGTTCTATTTTTTTTTTCCAAAAAAGACATGTAAAAAAGAAAGAAAGTAGCACAAAATAAACATCTGAACTACAATCTACAACAACGATTCTGAAGCTCTAGTTAAAGAGAATATATCACAAAACAGCCACTGAATTAGATTTGATGGCATCTAATTGACCACCCATACAAACAGCCTTCTTCAAGTAGGAAGCAACAGAAAAGCACTCTTTCAGACTTCCCAGCTACTTCTTTGCATAAGTAATTAACATCTGGTTTTGCTGTATCTTGAAACCTTGTAGTGCCTGCATTGCAACTGTTGATTGCATCTCGTTTTCATACTCCACAAAAGCAATACCTGGTTTTGTTTCCACCATCCTAACGTCCTTTAAACCAGGATATTGGTTGAAGAGCATTTGCAGCATCATTGTGGTGGCATCATGGGGAAGATTCTGAACAAACAGAATGTTATTTGGTGGCGCAGGAGCTTCTGGGACAATTGGTCTAGCACCCAAGTAAGGTATTTGTGATAGCTGCAGCATTTTGGAGAAAAAGAGAGGAGCAAATAATGAGGAAAATATACAAGTTTAACCTAGTTTTTCTTCTTGATAAGAAGATGAAATTTATAATAATTTCAAACTAAATAATATATTAAGACCCTTAAGTACAGGACCATGTTTCACTCAATTAGAATAAGGACCACCACGAATCTCATACAGGTCTCATGAGAATGAATGGTCAAGTTCAATTAGCATCCAACTTCATGAGAGCAACTAAACATGCAATTAGCTCTTCAACAGCAAAGCATAAAATGAAAAATTCCATGTAGATTGAATAGAAAATGCTCTCTCCAACTCTTTTGACCAGCATGAAGGTTTGCACCAACAGGGTTTCAGCAGCTAAGAAGTTCTAAATGTGGCCAAAGCCTGAAAAGTATAACCTTCTGAGCATTCCATACCGGGAATACAGTTGCAAGCTTAAGCAGGTTAATTTCAACCAGATCCCATAGAGTAAAGACATGATCAATCTCCTACTAAGATACTATATTTCTTATCACTTACAGGAGGTGTTGCACCATAAGCACCCGCATAAGCTGGATTTAAACCTGCTGCTGCTTGATTAGGATCAAGTTGTTCTTTTCGTTTTTTCCCTCCTACATTTAGAAGACATGCAAATCACAAGAGAAGAAAAAGAAAGAGAAGTACAAAAAAGATTAAACTGTATGCCACATAGATCAGAATAAACAACAAGTCAAAGAAAGAAGGAGAAAGAATATGAATATTTAATATTAAAAATTATTACTAAAGCAAAGCATCCTGAGTTTTAGCAATGAGGACCCAACTAATGACATCAAGGACGGGGCAAAAGAAAATACTAGCGAGAAGATGAAGGAAGCCGAAAGAGTGAGATTTAATTTGACATTACGACAATTTATATGGCATCTAAATGTGCATTCCAAAAAGACTCAACAATCAATACATTTGCTAGTAATATCTCCATAGTTTGTGATGCAAAGTTCATAGAAGGATAAAAAAGGACTCATTACTAACAATGACAGTAGCCATACCATTGCACGTATAAATACAGACGAAACACATACAACAAGAACAACAACAATATGACTTGCTCAACTGTTAGATTTTTCAACCAAAGATGAGGGACAAAGAGGAATGTACCCTTTTCCTCGTGCCTCTTTCGCTTCTCTCGGGGAACAAAAGTGCCATCTGCTTTTGATATTATATCTGATTTAGTCTTTGCATATTGTATTCTCTGCAAATAATTAAACAAATTTTTCATTATTTATTAGTAGCAAAAATTATGATGCTTTTGTGGTGGTAGATAAAACTGTTTATAAGAATAATCCGAATAATCAGAAAATCCACCTAAATCTCCAGTATATCCATTCCATTCTTCTGAAAAAAAAATTGGCAATTTTGACATACGAAAAGCAAATTTGAGTCAATTATTGCATCCACTAATGAAAGTACCCTATAAAATCTAACACCAAATTACTCAGATTTTTCGAATCATATGCAAAGAGATAAAAACTTTCAAAAAAACATATACCATTTCCTTGTCGTAAAAGGGAAAGCCCTGCATTCGCCTAAGAGCATTGGTAGCGGAGTTGACATCCTCGAAAATAACCCAAGCTTGACCTTTGTGTTTCAGCGTCTTGAATGCTAACACATCCAATATCTTCCCAAATTGCGAAAACACAGCGTGCAACGATTTCTTCAACTCTGCTCACATCATTCAAGAAGAAAAAATAAATTAAAAAAAAAGCACTGTAAAACTCTTTTTTTCTGGTTTAGATAGCTAAAATAAGTACGGTCGATTTTAATCTTCTCGTTGAGATTGTTGATGTATAAAGTCATATTCCGCGGAATTTCTTCTCCCTGAGTAATCTCCGCCATTTTTCCCCTGGCTCTGGCTGGCTCTGGCTCTAAGCAAAAGCAAAAAGCACTGAGAGATAAAAGCAAATGTTTTTTTTTTGCCCAAGAGCCAATGGGGTTAAATTCACGGTTTTTTTTTTTTTTTTTTTTGCGTAAATGCCCTAATCGGTTGCAGCAGAAGTAGAATAGTCCATAGGGAAAGACGGAAAGGGCTAGACTAATATGGGGCTAAGATGGGTCATACTTCTTTGATTATGCCAACTTATGGGCTATACTCTTAAAATTTGGGCCAGAAAAAAGTAAAAGGTTTCTCTCGTTCCAAGTCATTTCCATGAATTTTTTTCTTTTTTCTTTTTTTTTTTCATAAAATTCATATTTTTAAACTAAAACTGAAAAAGTATAATTCACTAATTCATAATCTAACTCAATCTCTACATGTAATTATTTTTAAAAGATAATATTTAATAATTTTGAAATTTAATTCTTAATACTTTTAATTTCTTATTTTATTTTTATATTAAAAGTTTCAATCATTTTACTTCACTTATAAATTGCTACAAAAGTACGCTAGGAGGTTAATCTATGATGTTAATCATTCCTTAGGATTAAGATACTTAACCATTTCAGAGAAATGAGGCAATGGTTTCTCGCATTAGGGTCAAGATATCTTGGGCACATGACTCCTTCAGAACTTGTGGAGAATGAGAGGAGAATCTGAATTTCGACTCCATTTATTGCAATGAAGGCAAACTCATGGTTGTTGGCCTATCTACTTAAAAAAATGGAAATAAGATCGCAATAATACGTTGCCTTTGCCTTTTTTAAGGGTAAGGATGAAATGAAACCAGTGGATAGCCTTACCCAGCAACTTCAACTTGTCATAGGAAAGTATTAAGTACTTGTTTTTATATTTCTTTGGCTAAGTTAATTGTATCTACGATGGATCACCTTAGCTTTTTAATTGGTCGGTAGCCGCCAGCAATTTCAAGTTGTTATGTGAAAGTAATTTTTTTTAGGAGGCCAATTGCATATCTAATGTACCACCTAACTACTTCTATTATTAGGAAAAGGATTTTTTATATTATTTAAATAGTAATGAAAGTTCTAATTATTTTTATTTGAAGGTAATCTAAATCTAAATTTAATATTTGATTAAATTATTTTTATATTTAATTTAAAATTATTAATTGAAAATTTATTATTCACTTTTGAATAAAATAAATTTTTTTGTATATTAGTTAACTTTGATCCTATGAAATTCTTTATTCATTTTAATCTTTAGGGGCGAGGGGGATTGACCTTTTTAAAGTAGAGGGGAAAATATAAGTTGACAGCCATTTTACATAACGTTTAATAAAAAAAAAAAGAAAATGGAAGGAAAGACAACATGCGAGGAAAAAAAAGGAGAGAAACAAAAGTTACTTTTTATTATGTTTTGAAAAAATTACGAATAATGTAGTAAATATTTATCTAAACCATGTAATTAAGAGACTTTAAAAAAATTATATGTGGACGTGAATTTTAATTTTAATTTTAATTTTTTTTGTGCGGATGTTTTTTTTTTTAATAAAAAACCTTTTAAAATTAAAAAAATTATTATTTTCATCAATTGATAATTGTTTCTATGAATTTTAATATATTGAAAGATGATATATCATAATATTTGTAAAAAATTGTAAAAAAAAAACATTGTTAACAACACTTTTTTAAAAATATATTTTATATTTATTATGTAATATTAAAAAAATATTTTTTTATGAAGAAAATATCTTCAAGTTGCCGTGTAGCCGCCACCGCCAGCCATGAGCCAGCCTTTATTAATTATTGGCTGTAGAATCAAATGCAAGCCTGCAAAGCAAGAGAGGAAGATGCTTAGCTGCGAGGTTCATTGACAGACCTGAGGTATAGACCATGGAGTAGAACCAAAATAGAGCTCAAAATTTTGCCCAATCAAATGATCACGTTTGTGGCGTGGGAATGGGACCACGCCAAATATCTGTCTACTGCTGACCATGCAACTTCAACTTAAACCCAGTTTAATTTTATTACATGAACGTAATATCTTCTCGGAGGTTTCTGTTTTTTTTATCCTGATTTGTAATGAGAAACGGATCTCTCTTCCCAATCTGGCCACCAAACTTTCAACATTCATTTTCTTTTTTCCCCTTAATTTACGAGTGACATTATTCAACATGTCATGTCTAACGGTTTCATTTCATGATGTTTGTTTCAGTTTTGTTTTTTTTTTTCCCTCTAATTTTTGTTGAAAATAATGGCACTTAATTACAATTATGCGTAACGTTGATTGTTCATAATTATACTTAAATTTAGAAGATGATCATGTTAAGATGTTTTATCACATTTTATACTTTTATAATGAAAATTTTACAATAATTGCTAGTGTACATAATTTTTATGCTAAAAGTGTCAATTTTGTGTATTGAAAATTTTCTTTGTAATTGTTTATTATGTGCCATGACTTAAAAAAAAAAAAACAAAGTTTTAATTTTAACAAATTTAGATAATTTTACTTAAATATATAAAAAATATATAAAAATTTAGTTCGTACGGATCACATTTCATTCTCTCTCCCCTTTTTTTTGTTTTATACTAACAAAATTAACGGATGTGATTAACAAATGTTGAAGATTCTAAACTTATTGATTAGAACCTTACCTTAAAACTAATAGTCTAAACAAAAAATTTAAAAGTGTTTCTTAATTTTTTTTAAATAATATATTTTTTCTAATATATATTTATTTTTTCTTGAAATTATAAGTGTTAAATAGATTATAATCAAGTATTGTATGCATATAAAATTATTAAATAATTAACTAATAAATTAAAATATAATTAAATAAATTTAATATAAAATTAAACTAAACGACATATGTAAAACTTTAATCAAAGACTTAAAAATTTTAGAGCCTTCCCTTTATTACTTATGTTATTAAAAACTAATAGTATTACATTTATGATAAAAAAAAATTACATCAAATGCATAAATAAATAATTTGTAGAATTACATCTTAATAAAAGTTTTTAAGTTTTGGTTGACATTTAAAAAATTAATGTTACTTACTAAATTATAGTCAGTCATTTGAAATAAAAAATTTTTACACTATAACTACTTAATGGTTCAATATTGGAAAATTATCATGTATGATAACAATGAAATTATTATATTTCACAAGCAAAATTCTTAGAATGACATATATCTTTTCAAACAAATTTAAAAAATAAAAAAGCTAATTAAAAAAATCGGGATATGTGTCAAAATTTTTATCTATTAGATAAAAAATGAAAATGATAGGATTTGATCTTTCAACTTATACATTTAAAAAAAAAATTAATCACTACATTAAAAAGAACTAAAGATTATGTATCAATTTTTTAATATTATTTATAAAATTAAAAAAACCATATCAGATAATTTTTCTTCAATATTTTTATTTAACATCTTAAAATTTACACGTAAAGCAATCTAATTAGCACTTGCGATCCGTGATCTATCGCTAAAAAAGAAAAAGAAATTGATAAAAGGACTATTGTTTTAATAATTTTAATAAATATTTTCATAAAAAAATTTTTCTGCACCTAAATATTTGACTTGAAAATAAAGATAAGTACAAGTATTTTCATTGCCGAAAGAGCGACTTGAAGTTGAAGACAATGATTTGTGATTAAAATTCAAAAACACAAAAGCAAACCGTACATAAATTAAAAAAGAGAGAGAGAGAGAGAGAGAGAGAGAAAAGTGGGCGGTGAAATGGTGACCACTTATAACTTTAAAACAATAAATTAATTTTTCATGAATAATAAATTCAGAGGCAGAGAGCTAAAGACAAAAGCCATCACAAGAAATCGAGCGGAAAGGGCGAAAGGCTGAAAAGATTGCTTCAGCAGCCCGACATCTGCAAGCCTAAAACGAAACATCAAACACTCCAGCCTGGCACCATCTAAGGAGGATACCATCAACTATTTTTTTTTTTTTTAAGTTTTATGTTAAGAGTTAAATGCTTAACGTACCACAAATTTATATAATTGAAATTTATCAATTAATTCAACGATTCATATGGATTAATTTAATTGATAAAAAGAGATTTTTTTGTTAATTTCAATTTAATTTTATGAAAATATTTAAAAAATAAAAATTTAAATACATTCATATTGACGTCGGAAAATACATTTTTAACATCTTTCCTAGAAATTCGTATAAATCATAAAAGACCAAAAAAAGATGGCAAATAATTATTTTTTGACTGATTATAAAATTTAAAATGACTTAAAAACAAAGGGATTGACCACTGATTCTTGACTTGGTAGGGGACCGCTTGAGGGCCCTTCTAGTGGGCAGACAGTCAGTACTTCCAGAACCAAGGAAAAAAGAAACTCCGCCCCCTCGACCAACTATTTCTTATCAACGGCATTAAATCCATCGACTAAGGACTCACGCACTCACGCTGACCTTTCCTTGTTCAAACCCTCATTGTCTCTCTTTCTCTTTATTTATTTATTTATTTTTTGCCAGAAAGACCTAACCTTTTCATATGCTTGATGTTGCTCGAAGAACAAGTTCGCGCTGAAATCATTCGCTGTCTCTGAACCGTCCGATCATTTTGATCGCCCACGCCGTAAAATTTGACCCTTGCCTTGGCAAACTAACGGTCAATCAAGGCCTAATCTCGTGTATTTATTTTTTAATTTATCGATTTAAAAATAAATTAAATAAAAAAGTTAAAAACGGCTCTGGGTTAAATTCCAGGTGGCAGCAAAAGAGAGGTCCGTTACTCGCTGTGTTCACGGGTTCTGTTAAATATTAGTGGACGCTATTATTTCCTCCGGCATCTCACGCGCCTCTCTGTGTTTTTTCCTTTCTATATAAACCCAACGAGGCTCTCCGTTGGACTCCCATATTCCACGAGGCTTTCGTAGAGAGAAAGAGAGAGTGAGAGAGAGATTTCTTCTTTGCCGCTGCGGAAGGTTTCTTTTCAAAGCTCGCTCTTTAAAGTTTGAATTTAATTAAAAAAAAAGGAAGAAAGAAATGGCTCGCTCTTTCTCAAACGTTAAGCTTTTCTCTACTATTGTTGTCGATGGAATCTCGAACGCTTTCTCCAGGTACCCAGACTTTTTTTTTTTCAATTCCATGGCTCTGTGTTTTTTTTTTTTTAAGAAAGTGAAAAAGAACAGAGATTTAATGATATTCGGTGTCGGTTTTTGTTTAGACGAGGATATGCGGCGGCATCACAAGGAGTTGCACCGAGTGGAGTAAGAGGAGGAGCGGCAACAAACTCTGCGGTGGTGAAGAAAACAGGGGAAGAGATGGTAGGAGCTAAAGAGAAGGTTTCATGGGTTCCCGACCCAGTTACCGGATGCTATAGACCTGAGAACTGTGCCAAGGAGATCGACGTGGCCGAGCTCAGAGCCATGCTCTTGAAGAAGAACTAAAATTTATGACTATATATATATATATATATATAAATTAGTACAACAAGAAGGCTAACCCGCTAATAATTCAATGGATTGACGAGGTTGGTTCCAAATGTTATCTGCCGCATGGGCTATTGGTGGTGTGGTGTCTAAAGGGAAGATCTTTTCCTTTGGCTGAAAAGAGACTTCTGCTTGCTTGCTCCTCTGTCCTTTGCAAACGAAATAGATTTGACGACGTTGTTTCTTGATTTCTCTTGTAGTCGGAATAGCATTTATAATAATAAAATCAGAACTTTTTTACTTATATTTTCTTCTCAGTTTTATTGTTTTACTATTATTTAATTACTAGTATTTGGTCTTTTAAAAAAAAAAAAAAGTAGTATTTGGTATTTGTTGCTGCTATAATTGAAAGTGACTAGATATGGAAAATTGTTAGTAAATATCTAAACGTGATTGGAAAGAAATACGCTAGCAAGAAAAGGTAAAAATTAGGGTTTTGCAGTTCAATACGAGCCTGATGAGTTTTGATTCGATTTTAATGAGTTTTTATTCGACTTGATTTTATAAAATTATTTTTTTTTAAAATTAGATTTTGAGTTGAATTGAATCAAATATTATTAAAAAAAATCATGATAAGATTGGATTCAGATTTTAAGTAAATTTGATTTGATTTAATATTATATTAAAAATTATTTTTTAATTTTTTAATTATATATAATTATATATTTATATTTTAAAAATATTTTATATTTTAAAAAATAATATTTTATTAATTTTAGATCGAATTAAATACGATTTATATAATATCGAATCGAATTTAAATTCAGAGAAAATAAAAATCCGTCTCATCCCGATCTATTGTCAATCCTGATAAAAATTTTGTTGATATAAAGCATTGAATTTGTATAATTTTATTTTCTCAAACTACTATTTTGCTTGGTGAACGCTAATATTAATGTTTATATTTATAAATAATTGCCAACAAACTTATTTTTACTATTTAATGGAAAATTAAGGATGTTTATATAATTAAAAAGAATATGACATCCTATGAAATTAAGTGTAAATATTATTTAAATTAAGAGTTTAATTTAATTGATTTACATAATAATTTTTTTAAAAAATAATGGCATTTAATAAAATTTAAATTTAAACTTCAACATTATAATTTTTTATCTTGAAATTTTGATTTATAAAAAAACAGATATTGTTTTTTGTACCAAAAGTTGTTAATGGCTTGGAATAATCCTTTAGATTTCACTAGTTAATGGAAAATTTATATGCATTATATAATTTGTTTATATTATCTCGATTACACTTTTCATAAACCAAAAAAGCGGCCCTCACGTAATCAAAATGACGTGAAGAAGAAACATTATCACAACATTAGGTTGGATTTTAATTTTATTTTATACACTTTATTATATTAAATTAAATTAAAGGTTAATATTAAATTAAAGGACCACTTCAGGTGAATTATCACCTCTATTATTTTTGGACTAGTTTATCGTAAAGTTAGGAACACTAATAAAAGAAATTATAAGATGTCTTGTCATCAATGTAGTGGGATCGGATGCATCAATGATTATCAAGCAATCAATCAAAGTACCGATGGCATTCTTTCATTTTCTTAATGTTTTTTGGTGGGCCTCAAAGTCTCATAAAATTGTTTGGTAGAATCGAAGATTCGGTGAATTGTCTGATCCCAAGCCTTTGAGAAGATGCCTTGTTTGAATGAAAACGACGCGAGATTATTTGTGGTGTTGGAGCATCCGGTCGTCAACTTGATCACTCGCGCAAGGAAAGAATAATGTAGAACAAAATTTTAGATTGGATAGTGTTTGAACATGAAGAAGATTAATCTTCTTTTTTGATTGACTAATAATTTTATGGAATTTGCTGAAGAATTAAGACGCGGCGAGCAATTCAATTTTGTCTCGAATTGAAAGCTGCTTATTTGAGAGAAAATTTAACTTTATAGAGTGAAAACTTTGTGTCTAACTTGTTATGTCTAGCAAAAGCTAAAAGGTTATGCAGTGGGAAGCTCCGAGAAAAAATTTTAGTGCCTGTTTCTGTTTTTGTCTGTTCGATGGAAGAGGTGCTTCTAGGTTTGGCAACCAGGTGACCACTCAATCGAAAAAGTCAAGAAAGGTTCGCATGAAAGATTAAGATTGGGGAGAGTGAAGAGTCATCACAAACCAGAAAAATTAAAGAGGGTTGAAATCTAAAAATGAGCAGGCCACAACTTGCCAGCTCTAGAGATTAATGGTATATTTGACAATGATGGGTAAAATCTTCAGGCAGTGGAGCTCAAAGATTTATGACTGGACAGATATGATAATTGAGATCAGCACCCAAAGTTCAACTGCCTTGATGACAAAATTGCCAAAATCAATTTTCTTTTGCATCCAATTAGTACTTGAATTTGACAGGTTTAATTTAAATTATGTGCTGTTGAGCGACAATAATCTTAATCTTCCCAGCATGACTGGCAGTAGCCATATTTTTAGTGGGAGTTGCTACCTTCTCACTATAAAGCAGATGAATTGGGTTTAAATTGTGTTCCTTGGAGAATAGATGGGAATGGAAGAAACCCACAAAGCAGCAAGGCAGGAAGGCAGAGAGGATGATGGATCTGGTCAGAAATCAGCACCAGGAACAGAGACATTAGCAAAACCCTACAAATCACAAACATGATCCTCGCATGTGCCAAATTTGGTATTGTTTTAATGTCACTTTATGTGGAAATTTTGATCTTATCAGAAGGAATATCGCATCTGGTGTGCACTTGGAAACGAATTTGCCATTTGTCTTGGTTGATATCATCCAAAAGAGAAGTTCTGATTCCCTCTCTTGCATAAAAAGCACTCAATCTTTCTCAATTCAAAACAAACTCAAATTATTTATAACCAGTTATAGCTCCCCCATCCCAGTTAGTCCCTTTTCTGGAGTCTGGACCAGACAAGCAGATCCTTGTTAGTCGTTATTTCCAAGACTATCTTCTTGACTTCTTGACAAAGAGTAAAGACAACTTAATTCATGTACCAAAAAATACAGTTTAATTCAATGGATAGGAATTAGACCTCCAATGGAAGGAGGTATCACAATGATATGATATTTTACATATGCGGTAAAGGAAGACATAATTCGAGATTACAATCTCCAGTATAACTAAAGCAAAAAATACAGCCATGGAGGGCATATTTACTCTTCCCTGTTTGAGTCCGACATCTATGTAGTTGTAAAATCTAGAAGTTAGTGTAGAAGTTGTCAAACATTTATCAAGTCCAAGTCTTAATCAACTAATCCAATTACAGAATTTTCTTACCTCTTCATTCAACAAAAGAAACATTATTATTGAGTTTCTTGTCTCAAAAACTACTGCAAAAACTAATTAACAACTTCAGCCATCATCTCCAATTTATTGAATACATAAAGTTATCCTCATTCAGTCATCCTGGCCTCGAACATTTGCATGCATCAAGACTTAAAGTAAGCCTCATTGCCAAGCCAAAGGCAAGCATTAAGCCTTAATACAGGTCTCAAATGTCCTTGATAGCGCAGATTAAACATGATACAAACAGACTACCTAAGATCAACTATATAAAGTAACTAAATCAAATTAGTGGAATAGCAGTTGTAATCACTTCAAATGGCCATAAATGGCACTCTGCCATATATATATATATATATGTCACTTGAAAGTGGCATGCAACAGTGCTACACCAATCGGACTTATCCAGTTCCATATTTTAAAGCTGGCATGCCTTAACAACCACTATATGACAATCACTACTCATGATTTGCACTTTTCAATAAATTAATTTAAGCTAAGAGCATTTTAGGCAACGGAAAACTCCATACTACAACTTAAATGACATTTTTTCTAATTGAAGTTGTCCGCCAAAGGGTGCTTGCAGAATGAGTAACAAACTCTTGACCATAGAGTTTTACTGTTTGAGTTCACATTCATAGTCTTAAAATAACACTTGAGAGGTTGTAAGTCTTAAAATAACACTTGAGAGGTTGTAAAGAGTTTGACTAATGACTCAACTCGGGATTCAAAAGTCTGATTGCAGTACTCAGTTCCTGCCCACAATGTACTGTACCTTCCTGCCACTATCACTCATGGCCAATTCCTACTTCCTTCACCTTCCAAAACACTCACTACTCCCATGTCTTCTCTAGTCCTCGTTTCCGCCTTCTTTACCTCATTCCTATTCACTCAATAGGTACTTAATAGTAATACAAGTTTGCAGTTCCACCATCATAAACGGGAGATGATCTTGCAAAGCATGGCCATCTATTAACAGCCATGCTAATATCCATAGTCCTAAATAGAAATATAACATGTCCCAATCCTGGTGCTAGCATTCTAAATAATCTACCTAATAGCACTTGAGATATTGCAAAGAGTTTGCAAACATCTCAATTCTCAACCTAGCACTAGAGATATTATAAAGAGTTTGGCTAATGACTCAACTCCAGATTCAAACTTATGATTGCAATTCTTACATCTCATACATAGCTTCTGCGCAACATCCTGTACCTTCCTACTTCCACCCCTCATTTCCAATTACAACCTGCTACTTCATTCAGCGTCCACAACACTTACTATTCCAATGTATGCTTTAGTCCTCCTTTCTGCCCTCTTTCCCTCGTTCCTATTCACTTAGTAGTTACACAAATTCTCAGTTCCACCATCATAAACAGGAGATGATCTTGTACAGCATAGCCTTCTATTAACACCCAAAGTAACATCCATAGTCATACATAAGAATAAAAGAGGATAAAAATCTATTTAACATGTCCCAACCCCGGTCTTAGCATTCTAAACTATCCACCTCATAGCATGAACCAAAAAAAAAAAAAAATTGCAAATTATGTTTATGTTTCTACTGCATTGGTTGATCAGTCCTCTAACCTAAACCAAGCAATGAAGCCAATATCAACCACATAAACAGAAATAAAACACACATGCCAGCAGAATATATACACACCAACCAAAGGGAAAGTCTAAACCCATTTTGTCGGTAAAGCTTCACCAATTTTAATAAATAACCGAGATCCAATTCAACAAAAATATGTAAACAACATATCATCCAAATCCCATCAACAGCATTTCATAATCTAAATCTCTTTTCACCACAAATTCCTCTAAATTGAAGAAAAAGAAGACTTAATTCTAAGCTTGCTCACTTTCCCATTAACACAATCGAATCCACATCCACACTGCGGACACTCATAAAAGTTATCAATTGGAAAGCTTGCAGAGGCAATCCCCACCGAGAACTCCAGCTCATCCCCATCTCTAATAACCTCCACAATATTCAGCCATAAAAACAGAACCTTGACGCTTATTCCACTAAGGTCTTTGAGCCTGTTGTTGGAGACAATTCCGCTGATTGTGGATTTGTATTTGAGCTGATAAGATCCTTCTAATGAGACGCTACACGAACCGTTTAAGTAGGCATGGAATCGTCCCGTGGATTCGTCTAAATCGTATTTTACGACTCCTTTGGGGAGAAGACCGACGGGGAAGTTGTAGCCTTGGAGGACTTCGTAGGCTGAAGGTTTGTCGTCGGTGATGTTGAGGGGGAATGACGTGGCGAGTGGCGATAGGACGAGAAGAAAGAGGAGGGCGACGGAAATGGTGGTGAGATCGAGAGCCATTTCTTTCTCTTTTGTTTTTGGTTTCTCTCGAAAATTGTTCTAAGCTGTTTTCCGAGGAAACTTTGCTTTGGTTTCTGTTGTTTGTTTTGCCAGCGAAGGGACAGAGGACGAAGAGGGGCAGGCAAACTCGGGTCTGATATGTCCGACGGATGGAGAAGATGACGGCGTTTAAGAAGAAAATGGAACTTAACAAATGTGGGAGTGTTGGTGTTTTGGTAAGGGCATAAAGGAGCGTGGTTGTTGACGGAGACAGCACGCTATGGCAAATTTGTCAACTCAGAAAGTAGACAATTGGGGACATGGATTTCAAAGGCTCTTTGAAAAGTGGATGGTTACTTAAAGTAGGGAACGGGAATTATCGTTTTGTCGTGTTCAAAGCCTGTTCCTTTGGATTTTCTTTCTGCCTTATGTATAATTTTCCAATTTCTTAATCACGGTATGAAAACTATTTCTAATATATACGTATATATATATATATATATATATATAAACTCTAAAATTATTAATAGTGAATGATTTAAATATTTTTATAAAATTTTAAATTAATAAATTTATCTTTAAATATGTCTAATTTTTATTAATTTATTTAAATCTAATTTAAATTAACTAAAATTAAAAATAGATTTTATGTAAAATTAAATTTTTTAAAATTTTAATTTTAAAATTATTAAAAGTGATTACCTAAAATATTGTTACTAAATGTTTATATATATATATATATATATATATGAACTCTAAAATTATTAATAGTGAATTACTTAAATATTTTTTTAAAATTTTAAATTACTAAATTTATCTTTAAATATGTATAATTTTTATTAATTTATTTAAATCTAATTTAAATTAACTAAACTAAAAATAGAGTTTATGTAAAATTAAATTTTTTAAAATTTTAATTTTAAAATTATTAAAAGTGATTACCTAAAATATTATTACTAAATGTTTTTATATAAAATTTTTTATTAGTAGACTATTTCTTTCTATAATTAGAATAAAAAATATTAAAAGTGATTGATTAAAATACTCTTAAAAAATTTTTAATTTAAAAAATATTAAAAATGATTAATCAAAATATCATTAGTAATTTTTTAAAAAATTTAATTTAAATGACTTTTTTTATTATTAAACTCTTTTTATAAGTAAAATGACTTTTCACAACAAATAATTCAGTGGTCATGTTATCTAATGTGAATTATTTTAAGTAAAAAATTATTAAGTGAAATAAAATTTGTAGACACCTCATTTTGTTTGATAATATTTTTTCGGAGTTTAACCGTAATTGAGAGATTTTTGAGATTTAATTTTAAAATCAGTTGGCATTTGATGTGGAGAGATTGTCAGGATTTAATTCCATAATCAATTCATATTAAAATGATAGGGAGAGATTTTTGGGATTTGATTTCAAAATCAATTTTCATTAAAATTGAAATCAAACAAAATCATGAATTTAAGGAGAATTGATTAAGCATGAACTTCTATATAAACATATGATCAAAGCAAGGGAAAGAAGGGAAAAAAGAATATGCAAAAAAAACTCTTGAGATAGAGAAAAAAAGGGTAGAGAAAAAAATTATGCAAAAACTTTTGAGAGAAAAAGAGAAAATTTTGTTCAACAATTAAGAGGTTTTGAGTTTTGGGTTTGGTTTGTTTAGATTTTCTAAAATTAAGATTTGGTGTTTTGGGGTTTGAATTTCTGTAAGATTCTACATTGTAGGATTCCTGGGTTTAGCTTTCTAGACAATTTGTTAGGTTTTCAAAAATTTTCTATCAACATTTGAGATTTATTCATCAATTTTTGAAATCAGTTAGAAATAAGACAGAAGAATAATCATTTCAGAAAAAGAGGCATACTTAAATAATTCTAAAGAAAAGTTGAGTGGTGTCGCTTTTATACTTCTCCAACATGATGCCATTTTTTATAGTCCAAGATTTGCGTGCGACCCATTAACCCGCGTTCTAACCAGTATGCCGACCCGATCCAAATCATAGGTTTTCCTTTTCTATCTTATCATGATTTTGTAATTTTATTTATTTTATATTTTTAACTTATTTTATTTTTAATTTCTTTTATTTTATAATTTATTCTACCTCATTTAAAAAATAAAATAAGACAAAAAAACAAAAAAAAAAATCTTTTCAAATAGAGGTTTCAAAATAACAAAAAAAAAAAACTTTCAATAATAATAAAAATCTTTTCAAATAAACAAAAATAATTTTTATCCTTAAAAATATTGGATGATTACTTTGGAGTAAGCCCTACCAAACTATTGGGAGGCTTTACTGATTTTTTTGGAATAAAAATTAATAAATTCAACGATGGAGCCTCTTTTGAGTGGGATATTAGTCTTCATAAATACTCATGAGGTGAAAAAATTATCTTGAATTGCTACCAAATTATTGAAATAATTTTAAGATTAGTTTTCAATATTAAATATTTGGTAAATCATAAAAATAATCAAGACTTGGATAATTTGAAATCAAACTGGTACCATCTTTTGGATGAACGTTGTGGGGATACTACAATTTTTTTCATTCGTAACCGACTCTCAAACCTAACATCTATTTTCGCATATCAAAATATATTTTAGGTGGTCAATCATACCTACCAAAAAAATATTAGTGACGACTTCTTTCATTCATGTCTAGCGGTAAGTATACAGATCTATACGTTATAACAAAATTAATTATTTTTTATGAATTCTTTCAAGGTAAGATTTTATTTTATTTTATTTTTTAAAATTATGTTTTTTTAATATTTTATATAATAAAAATTTATGTATAATAAAATTTTTAAAATAAAAGAAAAATTAAGCTTTTATTTTATAGAATGTACAATTATATTCAATTAATAAAAACACTAATAAAAGATTATTTTAAGCAGAAAAATGAAACAAAAGATTGATTGATTATGCATAATTCTATCATCTCTATATGACAAAAAATGTTAGTGTTATATGGTATTTCAATAAAAAAAATATATACAAATGCATTGATTTCAATTTTTTTTATGATTAATATGAAACTTTTTTATTTGATGAAACATTATATACTAATTATCTCTTTTATATTAATTGAAGAATATTAACTATTATATACAATTTTTTGAGGTTATCATATTAGATAATATTTGTTTAAAAGAATTGAAATTTATCAAATTAATTATCATTTTATATCTAAAATAAAAAATTATTATAAATTATAATTTAACTAAATTTAAAAGTAATTTAAAGGCATTCATTATCAAAATTTATTTGATAAATTTTTATTTAATTATGTATTTATTATTTCAATTATTTTAACATTTGACTTTTTATAACTTTGAATTAGATTTTGGACTTAAAATTTGCGACCAATTAGATTAAGTCAAGTTTTATTATCTCATTGTATTCATAGTGTATTCAATTATTTACTTATACATTCGTACCCATTTGACTTAATAATTGGTACATATTTCTTTTTATTTGAAAAAATGGATTTAAATCGTTCTAAATTTAAATAAAAAATAAGTATATTGAAATACTTATAATTTCAATTTCACTTTAGAAATTCTCTTAAAATTAATTAATTAATTCAACCACAAAAATAATAAAAATAAAAACATTGAAGAGGAAGGGAAAAAAAGCTTTAATAAAAAAATTTCAAATTGTTATGAAAGATAAATCACCAATTAATTGGGTTATTATTTCAATTCGTATTTTTATTATATTCAATCATTTCATATTTTAAATAATTACTAAGTTGTTAACATTTTAAAATTAATTAAAATCGAAATAAGTTAGTTCATTTTTCTAATAATGTGTATTATATTATTTTTAATAAAATTAAATTTTAAAATAAATAAAAATTTTATTTATATTTAATTTGAATTTTGAATTGTTTCAAGTTTGAGTTTATTAATTCATGCTATTTTAACTATACTTTTATGACACCTGTAACAAATTTCAAAATAAAATGAGTACATAACATAATAAAATTTAAGTACAAAAATGAGAGTTATAGATGATTATTTTAGAAAAAAATCCTTATGCCCAAGTTTTACAGAGATTAAAGGATATATTTTTTAAAGATTTTGAAATTCGTATTGTAAAAATGCTAATATAAATCAATGAATTTATAATTGTTTATTTGTTAATCAAGTTACTGTTATGTAGGTTAAAGAAGACAATGTAAACATCTCATTTAAAAGAGATCATTAGTTCAAATTCATTTATGAAGATAGCATATAATTAAACATTATTTTGGTTGTTATGACCATTTATAATATTTTTTACTTTTTCCAAATGAAAAAGTTAATTGACATCAAAATATCAAAAAAGCCATTTTAAATGATGGTAATAAGAATGAAGTAACAATTAAAAATATATTATCTTTTTTGTTTAGTAGAATAATTTTTTTATAAAGAATGCGAAATATTTTTTACTCTTTTTAAATGGATAAGTCGATTGGCATCAAAATATCAAATATATATATATATATATTTGAATGGTGGTAATTAGAATGAAGTAACAATAAAAAATATACCATGTTTTCGTTTAGTAAAAAAAATTTATGAAGAATACGAAAGTAATTATTATAAATCTAATATTTTTAAAAATTATTGTCTGTTTAATTTTTATAAATTTTATTTAGTAAATAAGTTCATATTACTTTGATCATATATATATACGAATTTTTTACTTAAAATTGTATGCTTAAAAATAGAAACATAAAGTAAAATTTATTACTTTCATTGATGATATAACTCTTTAAAACTTTCAATCTTTTATATATAATTTTACTTCCCTAACAAGGATGAAAATATATACACTAATAATTCAATCAAATCATCAATTATGCTTATCTCAATATCTGCTATTTTACTATGAACTAAAAATTTTGAAGATATTGACTTAATATATATTATATATTTTTTATTTAATTTAATTTTAATACTTATATTAGTATAAAAAGTTATGATTTTAACTTATTATTATATGTTAAGCTATGGAGTAAATTAAGAACATTTACTCATACTTTTCAAATCGTATAAACTTGAACTTTTTCTTATTTATTTCTCTATCTTACAAATTACATCATCTAACATACGTTGTGATTATTTTCTTTTTAGATATACATAAATCAATAATAATATAGTAGTAGATGATTAATAACTTAGTAATTAATTAGTGTAAACTTAAATGTAATCAGTATAATATAGTAATAATCATCGATAATTTAGTAGTAAATTAATTATAACTTAATAATAAATTAACAATAATCTAGTAATAAATAATTAATAACTTTTTAGTAAATCGGTAATAATATAATAATATATGATGATACCTTAATGGTAAATCAATCATAATATAGTTGTAAATGTATAATAACATAATACTAAATCAATGATAACTTAACAAAAAATAAGTAATAATTTAGTAGTTAATTAA